GTGTACAGATCCAAAGCATTGCTAAGACTGATCAAAAGTGCGCCAAAAGCTGCTTTTCTTACTTTCCCCCCGCTACATCGCCCTTAGTTCTTAGTCCTCTGATTCTCTTGCTGTTATGACCTTGAGCATGCCAGAGCTTGTGATAAGGAGCCATCTGCTTTAAACGGTTTCTTATTCCTACTCCCCCCCCCGCTTTTACAATGGCAGAACCGCAGCATGTAAAAAACCATCTTTTAAACTAGCCATCTAATAATCTATTATAAAATCTTGCGAGGATTCTGACAGTTATTATGCTTAATTAATTAAATCGAGTTAATTATTTAGAATTCCTTTAAAAGTGTAGACAGCATTATTGTGACTTCCTGCTTTATGTATTTTTTTTGGTAGCAATGAGAAATGCACCCAGAGTTTGCTACATGCGTTCTACTGCCCCTCTTTGCTTTATTAATTTATTATTTATACACCACCTTTCTATTTCTATCAACACTATAGCAATGTAAACATACAAATTGAAAACAACACTAAGATCAATGTAATCCAAATTAAAAGCAGTATAGTCAATTAACCGTAAAAGCTTGGCAACAGTTTTTGCTATTTTCCTAAATACTGGGAGAATGTTGTCTTAAGCCTATCCAAATAGTAGTTTACTCCTGAACTATAGCAGGATGAAATTGGCAGGATCATAAGCATTATTTTCCAAACTTAGGATTGCAAAGGTGCTTGGGGCATGCTGATATGAAAGGAGCCCTACTTAGCTGTTACAAACTAGTTATGCCCTCCATACAAGCAATGCCCGCAAGTGAACTTCTCCATGACTGCAGACATGTGATGTACATGTTTCCATGGGTACAGCATAGGTATTTGTACTGAAGAGGCTTTCCCATACAGTTGTATGATAACATAGGATCCAGGTTCATATGAAAGACAATATACAGTTATATGCATGAAGGTTTCCAAAGTACAGGCATTCAGGCTATACACAAGCTAACCATAACCTTAGCCTGTCAGAGGTATAACTTCATTGCAGGGGTTTACCACCATCTTTCACACAAAAATGGTGACCAGAAAATGGATCTCTGATTTTATACCATGTCTAAGTACAAACTAGACAAATTGTGATATTCAACATGCCTATTTAGAAGTAACCATTGCTAAAATTGAGCATACTGGCTTCCAAACTAGTATTGGTATTTCAGTGCTACATGTACTTGAGCTTTTCAAGGCTAGGAGTCCAAACTGATGATAGTCTGTCTTTAAAAGTTTTCATTGAAAAAACAAGTTAAAATCTGCTATTTCCATTAATGAATGAATGTTTACAGAATCTGTCAGTTCCTTAATACCCAAGACAGTCAAGTTCTTGATTTGTGCCTTGGTTATATCACACTTGGATTATTGTAGTAGTCTGTTGGCTGGGTTGCGCAAGTCTCCACCCTTTGATATGTGTCCAGAATGCTGCTGTTCATACTATTCTGAACTTCCTTATTTTGCCTCTACTTCTTTTTATTGCCAGTCATTATATTGGTGCAGTTTGAAAACCAGTACAGACTAATGGATTTGACACATTGCACCCTTTATATATAGGCACAGTTATTTGAAAGACCCACCGGTGACTTGTGTCCCTGTGCATTTAACCCAAGTACCATGCCAAGGTCATTATGCTCTACTGCAAACTAGAAGAGCCATGTCAAGGTTGAGCTTTTTCTCACCTCGCTCTGGTTCTTTAGCATCCCATCAGGATTAGACTTTGAATTAGAAGTTCTTAAAGTTTTAAAAGCATTAAAAGTGCTTCTTTGGCATCGTCTCCTGTTTTAAAAGAAATACATTTGCTATAAAATAAATAAAATTTTACCTGTCACTTTGAATGTCCAGAGGTTATGTCAAGGACCTTTAAATTTAAGACTCCTCATTTTATATTATGACATTATATTTAATTGTAATATAGTATTGTTTCAATTATAGTTTTATTCTCTCTATTGATGTTAGTTATTAGTATATAATAAGTAAACTACCACTACTAATCTTCATTTGACAGATTGAACTCTCTTTAATCATGTTATAAATGAGGTAGTCTATGAACTTTGTACATTTCAAAATGTCTTTGGGTGATACAAAGGTCATGCTGAGAGGTTTTCTGCACTTCTTAGGGGAAAATATAAATGCTAAGAGTAATTAATACAGCATCTCTGTTTATTTATTTGTCTACAGTCCTTATTTGTTATACTCACACAAAACATGAAGCTACTCTGAGATCTCCTTTGTCAATTGTTACAGCACTTGTGGATAAAATTGGTAGGTGTTTGAGTCATTAATGGCTTGATATTTGTCTGGGAAGTTCACACTGTGTATTTCAGTGATAAAAGAACTGAGATTAATTTTAACCTAGATGTTGGGAGGAGGCGCAGAAGAGAAGACAAACCTTTGTCCTGACACCTTTAGATGAACTTACTCGGGGTTAAATATATGTTCTGGTGAATATGCATTTGCTGCCAAAATGTCATTTTTGAATCTACCCTCTCTTTTTTGCTCAAATATCTGATTGAAGAAATATGTCACATCATAGGCAACATGTTATATCATGTTATATGTATCCAAATGTTGTATTATACAAACAGGAAAGGCAGCCAGATGTGTTATTGCTTTTTTCAAAACAATTAACCTGAAAATTAAATAATGGCTTTTAAAATTTTAAAAGGCCAAATTCTTGCAAGATTACCAAGAGTGGCAATGTTCTTGCTTGAGTTGCAGGAGTGTGATTGAAAATAATTGGTACTACAACATTGCAGGAAGCTCCCCACTGCCTGAAAAGGTTGCTGACCCCAAACTAGTCTCTTAGAAGTAGCACTGTCCTCCCTTAGATGATTGTGGATTATCAGTCCTTAGAGTCTGTGCTCTGACTCCCTCCTTGTATGCTTTTAGGTTTATGGAAGCAGCACATTCATCCGGATTGTGATATCAAGTTCACTGGGAATGTTTCATGGGTAGGGAATACTTCAATGGAAGTGAAGATACACATGCTTCAGGTTAGTGACAGTGGATGACCTTCATTTGCTCATTAGCATTCCTGAATTTAGATTTTTAGATTTGGCCAGGTACAATGCATCCTGTAATGAAAGCCTGACTTGCTGCAGGTTAACCATATAGTAAGACATTATTCAGAAGAAATAGGTACCAACTGGAATATGACATCCAGGTTTATTAAAATACATTTTGGTCTGTTTGAAGCGAATGTGATTTTTGACTGGCATGATTAAATTTGCAAGGAGAATCTTGCTTATAAACTCTTTCTATTAAATATTCACATACAAGTATATAGTATATTCTACTTATTCTACTTAGATTTCCTTGGTGTCTTCTTTTTCCTTTTTGGCATCAATATTAAAAATAGTTCAGTTCTGGAACAGTGTATCAAGTTTTAATTAAATTGTTACTGGATGCTGATGCCAGCCATGTTTTTTTCCCCTCTCCTATTCTTTTATTTTAGTTGCTTGATGGAATCTATTGCCCTACGTTAGATGCAACTTTTGTCATGGTGGCCCGTGATCCAGAAAATAAAAGGTAATGTTCCTAGCAGTTTATTTTTAAAAATCAGTGAGAAATGCGAGTGGTGGTCAGAGCTGATGAACCTGCTGACTTTTGAGTGTTGCTAAACTTCAACTTCCATCAGCCCCAGGCACCATGGTCAGTGGGATGCTGGGATTCTAGTTCAGCAATATAACAGGTTCTCCATTGTGTCCAGTCAGGTACAGATGCTTCCATTTTTTTCTGATACTATATAGCTATAGTCAGACACTTGCACCTATACACATCTTATATATGCTACACAAATTATATATTCAACAATCTAGTTTACTTCTTACTATTCCCCGGTGATATGCAAAGATTTATGAGAGAATTATGCATATTTGTTTTGTTCCCTCAAATTTTAACTTTTTATCAGCCTAAAATGCAATTCCAATGGTGAAAAGAAAGAAAACCAATCCAGGACTGTAAACATAATTAATGTATCACACATGGAATGGAGTGGAAACCAGATCAGAAATATGTTGTAATAATTAACTTTAAATGATTTATAACAGACAGAAAAGTCTAATTTCAAGGGTGTACTTTTTCAAAATGCAAGTAATACAGTTCAGTGGCAAAGCAATTTGTAGGGGGTATAGAAGGAATGAATCCTTTTAGATATAACAAACAGGAATATAAAAGTGAAATATTTACATCATTTATTATAGACATACCTTAATCCATATGAGACGAAAGAAATAAGATAAACATATTTTGTACCATGCTTAGTGAGGCATGCAATATATCTTTGATGAGCCCAAGTTTGAAATGAGTCAAACATTTATAACTAAGACTATCTACAGGGAATAGGAAGGTTCTATGACTAACTTAAATCTGAGCTTGGAAACTAAGCAAAATTGGTCCTGGTTAATACCTGGCTGAGAAAGGGGATCCCAGAGCTGTAGGCTAGACTATGAAGTTGAACATCTTGGAAGAAGGCAATGGCAAACCACTTTTCTCTCCTGATCAGAAATCAGATAAAAATAACTGCATGGTGGTTCTGTTTGCTCACCAGGAATCAAGTTTGATTTGGAGGAATCTTTACCTTTACTCCAATACCTAACCTATTTTGAGTAAAGAAGTTTCTCAGAGATGTACGGGCATAAAAATAAAGCGGGTAATTCTGTTTCCATAAAGAAAATTTTTAAAACAAATCTTTATCTCTTTTGAATTACTCAGAGTTGTTTCCCACAAGGTTTTGTTCTGTGAAGGTCACTTAACTAGGAAGTGCCCAAAAAATGGTTGCGGTTATATGTTGTTATATGGATAATAGTTCTGAACTTGAGATCTAGCCAGTATCTGAGGGTACTCCTCACGCACTATGCATCTCAGATTCACATCTAACCATTTCATGCTTCATTCATGTTTTCTTAACTCTTGGAAATAGTTTTTAGAACATGGTGGGGGAAGTAGTAAATACAGCAACCTTAAATTTTACAGGAAATTCAATTTCATGTAATGCCTTGTATGAACTCTTAGGCCATAGCCAACCAAGTCCCATAACTTTCCAATTACAGGTAGTCTTCACTTAATGACCCTAATTGGGACCAGCCACTCCATCGCTAAGCAAAGCGGTCATTAAGCAAGACATGTGACTGTGACTTGCAACCTTTTGCCGGCTTCCCCATTGACTTTGCTTGTCGGAAGCCAACTGGGAAGGTTGCAAATGGCAATCATGTGATCGCAGTACATTGCAACAGTTGTAAACAGCTTTAAAAATATATGAGGCTATGGGGCTGTACAGTACTTTAGATTCAAGGCAAAAAGGAGTTTCAGAGCGTACAGGTTATGAATGTAACTCTTATCTACAATTCCTTATAGCAGGAATTGTAGGGCCTTATTGTGGGATTTTTCAGCTATTGTAGGATCCATAGACATATTTAGCTTAAGGAGTTCCAGACAGGTGCTATGTTTTTGTTACCCTGCATGCTGTGGAGCACAGTTTTGCCTTCAGACCTGAAGTGCCATGCAGCCCAATGCATCTCCATTGACCGTTCTCTTCAGAGCACTGTCTTTTCAAGTTAAATCATTTGTGTTGTTGAATAACAATAAGAAAAAATAGTTGCTTTAAAACACTAAAGTAGAAATGCAGAATCTTCATGGCAGATGAACTTGTACATAGGTAACTATGCTGGGTTGCAGCCAAAAACATTTCATTTTTCCCTCTGTAATGCATATTGTTTTGATCTTTTTAATATATCCTCAGACCAGCTTTTGTGAATCCATTAGTTGCTGAAACCCCAGAGGAGGAAGAAATCTTCAAGGAAGGAGAAAGTAAGTAAGCTTTTATTTTTGGCAGTGGAGAAATTTTGTTTTGTGGTCATTCCTAAATATTGGGGGGGGGGGAATTATGTTCTTTTGGGGTGAAATAGTTTGGAACCTAAAATAGTCCAGAACGTGCTTACAGATTTCAAAAAGGTATTATTCATCAGTTTTGAAAAGGGGTTGAAATACAGCTGTTGAAGGCTATTGTCATTCATGTTATATGTTTCATTCAATTGATCAGAGAACAAGATCAGGCGGCTTGAATCTAGTAAGGCTTCTTTATTGAAAGTTGCGCCCACTGCAGATGAAAGAAATATTATCCACAACATATTCTTGAATACTCTGGATTCAAGGTAGGCAGTTTAGTTATAAACACTTGTAATAGTTTTTCCAAATCTGATGCACTCCATGTATATTAGGATTACAATTTGGAGGACTTCCAGGCAATTGTGATGCAGCAGTTGAGCTGCTGGACTGTGACTAGGTAGAGCCAGATTTAAATTTATTTTCAGTCGTGGATGCTCAGTGGGTAATTTCGAGCCAGTCTCTCAGCCTAACCTACTTCACAGAGAGGAATTGAAGGAGGGATTGCTTGAAAATAGAATGTGTTTATAGCATAGTGATGGGAAAGAATAACAGCAACAGAATGTTCTTGGATTCCCCATCTTCTATATCAAATATGCATTTCCAGATGTTGTATTGCAGCTGCCATCAATCCTTATTATTGACCATCCTGCTTAGGCCTCATAGGAAATGAGGTAAGAAGGTATGTAGGTGAACCTAAGGTCCTGTTCCCATTCTCAGCATGTAGATGAAGTGGTACCCATATAGTCTTAGATAAAGGTTGAAATTCACAATACTGGGATAAGACAATGTCCTTGACAATCTTACATGTCGTTCTCCCTTTTCTAGGACAATGAGTTTTCGTAGTCGTGTATTGCCACCCAATTCAGTGTGGATGGAAGACACAGCATTAAAGAGTTTGGAGATCTGCCATCCGCAAGTATTTGCTGAACTATAGTGCATGTAGTCTAATCCTTATGTTTGGCTCTTGCTTCAAGTTGGCACATGGCATGGTACTTTCTATAATAGCTATTTGGCAGTTTGGTTTCTTGATAAATATTCATAGCCATAAAGTCATGAATCATCTTCAGAGATTGAATTGCTCTGTAACCTTAATGTTTAAAGAGACTTTATAGCTCTATTAGCCAAGAAAGGCACACCGTATATAATGCGAGCATTGCCAGTTGGTGCTTGTAGCTCTGACTGGTAGTAGTTTGGGGGGAATTTTCCTTAATTTCAATTAACTGCAATAAAACCAACAGCTGAAAAGTGCTTTGAAGTTTTATTAATCTAATACTCTGAGGCATTCTCTTTCAGAGGATGACAAAAGTTTGCAAGCAAGCAGACAAGCACTTTTTATAAAGCTTAATTACATACAATATCTGCATCCCTTCCTGTATATCTTATTTGGAGCAAGCTTATTGGTTATTGTTAAGCAATAACTTGTGTGTGTGTGCGTGCGCGCCTTCGAGTCAGTGTTGACTCCTGGGGACTGCCTGACAAATCCCTGCAGTTTTCTTGGCAAGGTTTTTTGGAAGTGGGTTGCCATTGCCTCCTTCCTAGGACTGAGACAGAGTGACTGGCCCAAGGTCACCCACCTGGCTTTGTGACTAAGGCAAGACTAGTACTCACCGTCTCCCAGTTTCTAGCCTGGTGCCTTAACCACTACACCAAGCTGGTTCTTAAGCAGTAACTTGCTTATTAGCCAATCAATCAATCAATCAATCAATCAGCAAGCAAGCACTTGAATCAACAAGTTACTGGGAGTCATACAAAGATAGCTCTGTGCATCTTATCAGTGATTCTTCTCTCTCCCAGTACATAATTATGTACTTTATCTGCTTCCACAATGGGTTCTAGCAGAACTTTCTCTCTGGAAGGCTGTTTAAATAGCTTGTTCTATCTATACTCTCTGTGTGTGCTGATTTTGGGGTCCTGCACAGTGTAATGACAAATATGTGAATTCTTTTATAGCAAAAATAGCATCTCAGTTGATAGATTGGGTAAATCCTTGTTTTTCTCATTTTGTTTTATAATACACTACTGACTAGGTTTAGTGGTCCTATGTTCTCAGAGGGTTACAGTCGTTTCCCTGGTTTTGCACTTTGAGCTTTTTCTTATGAAATATTCTAATAATACAAATTGCCCTTAAGTGAAAGAAGAGCTGTATATATGTATGTATGTATACGTTAAGTCAGGATTTTTCAAACTCTCTTGGGATTCTGAGGGGTGATCACAATAGCTGTAGGGGGGGATGTCACAGTTTTTGTTTTTGTTTTTTAAAACGTGATCCGCTTTACACAGAGAATGAGAATTTTGTCACCACTTCCCTGGGCTTTGCTCCTTACTTTGTCTGCAAAAGTCCCAGTGGGCAGTTGCAGTTCTATAAAGTTTGAAAATCCCTTTGATACATAGATTAAAATTTAATTATTAAAAGTAAGTGGTATATTTATTTCTTGCCCAGCCCTAACCTCAATGAAATCATTATTATTCATACAAGGTCATACAAATTCACGTATCATTTTAGGGGGTAATGGTATTACAGTAGAGGTTTGATAACCCCTGTCTTTAGTAATTTCTGTGTAAATGCTCAAAATCCACTGCTCCTATTGGTATTTGTAAATACAGGAACGTAACATTTTCAACAGAATCTTTGGAGGCTTTCTCATGAGAAAAGCATATGAACTTGGATGGGCTACTGCCTACAGCTATGGGTAAGTATTAGGCTGTCTCTTTCTTCCTCTCATTGTCAGGACGGTGGGGAAGGGGGAAGTACAGTGGTACCTTGGTTCACGAACAATTCGGTTCACGAACAATTCGGTTCACGAACAGCACCGTTCGCAAAATTTTGCTTCTGTTCGCGAACTCCGCATCGGGTGACGAACAGGATCTGCGGCCATTTTCCCTGCTGTGACACGTGGTTGTGGCTTCCTGTAGGGAGGGGGACTCTCCCTCCAAACAATAACCGCCTCCCCACCCGCCTTCCTGTTCTCCACGCTAGAAGTCGCCTCAAGCAAGGTTAGTGTTCTCTCTCTTCGTACTGTACTGTACTGTACTTTGTTTCATATTTTTGTGGTTTAAAAAAAAATACATATGGTTCAGAATGGATTAACCGTATTTACATTGAACTTTATGGGAAAATTTGATTCAGGTCGCGACCAAAATCGGTTGGTGACCAAATCGGTTGGCGACCAAATCGGTTGGCGACCAAATCGGTTGGCGACCAAATCGATTGGCGACCAAAATCGGTTGGCGACCAAATTCGTAGGGGTCAGAACTGATTAACAGTATTTACATTGAACCTTATGGGAAAATTTGATTCGGGTCGCGACCAATTCGGTTCGCGACCAGTCGTAGAACGAATTAAGTTCGTGAACCGAGGTACCACTGTAAACCTCCTTTCTCACCTAGGGTCTCTTTTCTGGGTTTTGCGATAAGGAGGTCTCTTCTTCCCTTGCTTGGTTACTTTGCACAATCTGAGCAAGAAGCACAGTGCACCTTAAATCAGTGTAAACTGGTGGTTAAATATTTTTCTAAGTCTCATCTCGTCTTGTCTCATTTTCCATTAAATTGAATAAAATGTTCATTATTTATAATGTTATAAGTGTATAATAGAAGATGAGGGAGCAGGCTGGCAGAAGATTGGAAGCAATAGCAGGAAGATGCTGGGGAGATTGGAGGGAGAGTCCTTGGAATGTCAATGGCAGGTATGGGAAGATGCTGAAAATATTGGGGCAGGCCAGTTGGTGGGAAGATGCTGAAAAGAGAGGTAGAAGCTGACAGAAACAGCAGCCATGGAAAAATTTTTGGAAGATTGGGACTGGGGGGGTGAATTAGAACCACTTGCTGCCTCATTTAAACAACAGCCCTGCTGTACATGATTTGTTCTACAGCATTCCTGCACTGATGAATGTAGATATATTTGACCTAATTTTATAGGTACTGTACTAGTATACAAGGCACAAGCCTTGGTGGTGAGTGAAAATTTAAGGTGCGTAGGAAAATAAATGAATAGCACTATATTAAATATAGAATCTTTAACTGCTGTGCCTTTTTCATTTTCATAAAAACCACTTAATTTTTAGACATTATTTGATTATACAGTTGGAACTGTATTGCCTGATATAACATTTTCACATGTTCTAGTGGAGTTAAGGCTAATTTATTAATGCTGATTTAATCCTGTGACAAATGACAATGGATATGGATGTAACTTAAGAATGCAGGAACTGAGATTCATCTGTTAGTCCTGTGTGGCACAAAGCAGTTTGTTGAGATGACAACGTCAATTCTTTCCATCTTATTCTGAGGAGGATACTGGGTTTTGCAGTGCAGCCGGCATTGCTAATTCAAGATTGTGGCAGCTATGAGTTATAAAAAGCAACATTTATTTAATAATAAATAAATAAGCATCATTGCAATAAATTCTAGTCAGTAACTATTGATGATGTCACTAGACAGCATGTGAGGGATAAATAACTCCAGTGCAGAGAAAGCAAAGAGGGAAATGGTAAGAAGTTTAAATGTTTACAGCTATGGGAGCTGCAGCAGAGAAAAGATGCGAGAAAAGGAGATTTGCAGATAATCTACACATTTTCTATGTTGATGGAAATTTTAGTTTGTTAACTATGTTATTTTACAAAGCTTGAAAGATCTAGTGCTACCTGGAGGTATTCTTTAGTTGTGGCCTTTAGCACTTGTTCAAGTTTCTTTCCCACTTACATAGGAAATTATTAGGATAATATCTGATGTTATCAGTTATGTAGTTTTATATTCAAGTGTAGGGACCTTTGCTCTTGGCACTGGTGGGAAGGAAAAGAAGTACTGTAGAAATCAAATAATATAATTTGTATGTGAAGATATTTCATGTTACATTTGAATGGCTGTGGAATTCCACATACAGGTAATCCTTGATTTACGACCATTCGTTCAGCGACTGTTTGAAGTTACAGTGGCACTGAACGAAGGGACTTACGACCGGTCCTCAAAGTTCTGACTGTTGCAGCGCTCCTGTGGTCATGTAAATAAAATTCCGGTGCTTGGCAACCAACCTGCACTTATGACCAGCTGCAGCATCCCACGGCCATGTGATTGCTGTTGCCAGCCCTCTCTGCTGGCTTCCCACAAGCAAAGTCAATGGGGAAGTCGGCAGGGAAGGTCACAAGTCACTTGTGTAAGTCTCTCCTGCTCCCTGGCCTTTCTTCGCTTGTGTGCACCGCACCCTCTTTCCCCCCTTTGCTTGCTTGCACCCACCAGTACCCTCCTTCCCTGGGCCTCCTTGCACTCACACTCCTTTCCCCACCCCGCATGCATGCACCCCGCACCCTCTTTCCCTGGCTGCCCTGTGCTTGCACACACACACACACTATGCCCTTTCCCTGGCCTCCCTGTGCTTACAGACACACATGCATCCCACAGCCTTTCTCCAGCCTTCCTGCTCTCACACACGTGCACCCCACACCCTCCTTGCCCAGCCTCTCTGTCTCACACATGCACCCTATGCCCTCTTTCCCTGGCTTACCTGCACTCGTGTGCACTGTATCACCCCTTCAACTTGTGTGTAGCCTGTGCTGGGCCTCCCCCACCCCCTGCAGCACCCCTGCTCTCCTTACCTGGGACTTCCTCCACTTCCCACTTAACAACTGGCACATCATGGGGACCACGTGGATTGCCATCACTAAGTGATATGGTCATGTGACATCACACTTTATGACCACATTGCTTAGTGATAGCAATCCCAGTCCAAATTGCTGTTGTAACTCGAGGACCACCTGTAATAGTTCACACTATTTGGTAATGACGTATATGAGGCCTACTTGTCATTTGTATATGTAGTTAGTTATCTTCTAGTAATAGCTAACGAACTGTGAAATCAGCCACTTGCATGCTTAAGTTGATTTTAGTTTAGTGAAATAATAAAGTCTAAATAGTTGCTACTGTGCGTATAGTAGAATACCATAGGCAGTTATGAATCTGAGTTTGTTAGAATTTAAGCAGCAATCAAGAGGATCACTTAAGATTTTGTTATTGGGTTGTCATCTATACCTGAGAATCTTTAGTCTAGTATGAGTTTGCAAAATATGCCTAATTAAATTTCTGTTTTATATATTCCTAGTTTATATAATTTATTAAGAAACTCCAGGTTCATAATAAGTTTCTAACATGGAATATAAAATAAATATAAATAAATAAAATATAAAACAATCCATATCCATTTTTTAAAAGTCTGTGTATGTGTGAATATGTATAATTATTTTTTTCTTACTCTAGAAACTCCAGACCTTATGTGGTAGCTGTAGATGATATTATGTTTCAAAAACCAGTTGACATTGGATCCTTACTATTACTTTCTTCCAAGGTAATACAATAAACATATTAATAGATCAAACTAATTTAAAGTGTTTGGATTACTCCCCCAGTGGGCAGTAAGAAGCTGGATAAATACTTTTTCAACTACAGGTACTCCTTGACTTACAATGGCAGTTGGGACTGGAATTTCTGTTGCTAAGCACAACCGCATCACTTAGCAACAGCAATCCCTGCAGTCCCTGGTTGCTGTTGTTAATTGAATCCCATTGCAAGGCAACTTCCTGCCGGCTTCCCACAACCAAAGTCAGTGGGGAAGCCAGCAGAAAGTTGAAAGTCCCAGACCAGTAGGCAAGTAAGTGACTTCTTACTTGCTGGGGGGTGCGGTGTGGGTGGGAGAGACTTACTCTAGTGACTTACGACCTTCCCTGCCAACTTCCCCATTGACTTTCTGGGGAAACGAGCAGGGAAGATTGCAATTGGCAATCATATGATCGCGGGATACTTGGTAACTGGTCATACGTGCGAACCGGTTGCCAAGCGCCCAGATTGTGATCACGTGACTTCTAGGGTGCTGGGATGGCCGAAAGTCCGAGGACTGGTAGTAACTATCATTCGTTCAGCACCCTCGTAATTTTGAATTGTCGCTGAATGAATGGTTGTAGGTCAAGGGCTATCTGTAATAAAATGTCATGATATTTTATTCATGTTTGAATTTGCATACCTAATAACCAATTGATCCTAATTTTTAAAGGTATGTTATACTGAAAAAAATAACATCCAGGTTCGGGTGCACAGTGAAGTTTATGATCCAAATACCAGGGTACACCACACAACCAATGTCTTCCATTTCACATTTATGTTAGAGAAGGAAATACCAGATGTTTTTCCCAAGACATATGGTGGTGAGTAACTATTTGAATATCTCACTGTCTATGTGAATGAAGAATGTATTTGTGATGAATTCTAACATAGTTTATAAGTAGTGACCTATTAGAAATATAGGTCTACTTGTTTTTTTTCTTTCCATAGTTTCATTTATCTGGCATATAATATGGCACTACAGAATACTAATCCGTGCCTTCTCTTTTCAGATTATTTTCAGTATCTCAACTGTACCTAAGTCAGTATTTTATGTCTTCTATTAGTATTGATCTTCAGTTTCTTCAGTCTGTATTATATGAATTATTTTAAATGAATGAAGGAACTAATTAAGCATTCTTGTGATGATGAAGATACGAACATTTGTTTTATCTGTCTGGAAAAAGCAGGCTTAAAAAAATTAACGTGCAAAGAAAATTTGTAAAAATTAAAAAACCCTGAACATCCAGCTGATCATCTGATCGTAAGAAACTTGACATTCTTGCTTTCCTTTTAGAATCTATGTTGTATTTGGATGGAAAACGGCATTTTGATTCATCTATGAAAGAATACATAATATAGTATCAGCACAGAATTATAGCAAAATGCTACCTTTGGATGGCCTTGGAAACTTCAAACACAGTGGTTATCAGAAGGAACTGAGAAGTACTTTTACTCCAAACACTTCATAAACAGTGCAGATATATTGCAAAGAATTTATATTTCTATCCAGTCTAACAAAATAGTATTTTGTTACTATTTATACAAATATTTTAAAGTTCTCATTGCATATATTCTTTATATATTTAAGCATACAACCAGCCAACCAACCAACCGATAAATAAATACAGTATACCCTGCTGAGGGTCCATTAGGATTGGGGTGAGCTCTAAATATTGTGTAAATAAATAAATAACAACCAGTAGTAAGTGAAAAAAGCTACTTCTGAGTAGAGGTATTGAAAATAATGTGGAATAATGTTTTCATACCTTTTAAAGACTTATACATTACTTAAACTCATATGTAACATATAGGGGAGAGGCTGTATTGGGCCCACTAAAACATTTTCCCCTTTTTTCTTTGAATCCATAAAGAATCTCAGTGTGCTGGTTGGTGGTTATTCTTTAAAGTTTTTCTTTTTAATGAGAAAGTTTTGGCAAACCTGGTTCCTTGTATTTGTACAAATTCCCTGTCCTGTCCTTGTACTGATACAGGTAGTCCTCTACTTACAACTATTCGTTTAACGAGCGAAATTACAATGGCACTGAAAAAGTGACTTACAACTAGTTCTTGCACTTACAACCATTGCAGCATCCCTGCAGTCATGTGATCAAAATTTGGGCACTTGGCAACTGGCATGTATTTATGATGGTTACAGTATCCTGGGTCATGTGATCCTCATCTGCAACCTTCCCAGGGGGGCTTCTGACAAGCAAAATCAGTGGGGAAGCCAGATTCGTTTAATGACCATGTGATTCACTTAGCAGCTGTAGTGATTTAACAACTGTGTCAGAAAAGGCTGTAAAATCGGGCATGACTCAATTAACAACCACATCACTTAGTGACAGAAGTTCTGGTCCCAATTGTGGTCGTAAGTCAGGGACTACCTGTGGTAAGATTTGATCCTTATGTAAAGTGCCAATTCCTCACTGGGACAAATCAGAAACTATAGGACAGAAAATAGTGCTGTTTTCACAATAAACTATGACCAGCTCCTGTTGCCACAGGAACATCTTTATATTAATAAATAAATGTCTCATGAAACTTGTTTTTATTACACTCCTAGGAGATACTGAAAGATTATGAACTAATGTGTATGCTTAATTAAAATATACACACACACTTGATTGAAATAATACTACAGCAAGTTGACTCATTTCTACCTTTTTACTTCTGTGTTAATTATTTGATTGAGATGGTGATCTTCTAATTATGTCCAAGGAAGCCTTCAATACTTTGGAAGCTCCAGAGTTTTCACACAGAAAATTAGTAATAGCACATAAGTGTCTCTGAAAATCAGATTGACTTGTAATCATTTTTTAATCTACCTGTAGTATGAAGTTGTAAGGTTTGTAGACCTGAATCTCAGAAAATCCAAAACCAGGAATTCAGGCAGAGGCTC